TAAAACTTGTATGTAATTTTCAAACAGCTTTTAACTTCTTTTTTTAGCTTTTTTTTAGCTTTAGCTTATAAGTAGCTTCTAGCTTAAAAATAAGAGGATTCAAACAAGCTTAATCCTTATCTTCTTTCATTTTTTTTTTGGGTAATAAATCCTTATCTTCTTTCTATTAATATAGTATTAATAGATTTATATTAATAGATTATTATATAAATAATATTTGTACTACAAATAATACTAGAAAAGATTTTTAAATTACCAATAATTTTATATGAATATTATCATATTCGATAAAATAATAATAATCTTCGAAAATCATCTAATTTTTTTTAGAAACGATTATGAAATATATATTTTTGGCTCTCTCTTTAGTAGGGATATTCGCGGTCTGGATTGGATCGGTTTTGGAAGCAAAAATCATCTGATCCAATCCCTTCAATTTGATCATGTAATCATTCGTTCAGTTTGAATTTTTTTTCAAATTCGATCCGATCCAATCCAATTTTTTTCGGTATAGATTTGATCGGTTTTCAGTTTTTTGAAAATCCTAAAATTAGTTTCATGATTATTGTGCAAATAACATCTTTTGTATATATTGGGGTTGTAATTTATTTATTTTTTGAAATACAAAAATATCAGTAAATGATAATATAGTTTTTTTTCGACAATAAGATATGCAGCTCTACATAGATGAAATTTTGTTAATGAGATGTGACTAGATTTTATTTTATTTTTGGTTTAGTTGATGGGTTAATGGGTCTTGAATTTAGAAATTTTTGTGCTATGATTGGGGAAATGACCAAGTAGGTAGAGAAAAATTAATATATTGGATCGGTTTTCATCAACCCAGCTGAAAATCGATGCAATCCAGTTAAAACTTGCGGGTTTTTTTTTTATTTTCGATTTATTTAGTTATCGGTTTTTCGATTCGGTCACCGCGGTTTAAATCGGTTTTAATAAGTTGATAGACACCCCGACTCTTTTGGGTCTATTTTAATGGGCTTATGAAAAAGGTATTTTTTTATGTCTTGTTTATTTTAGAAGTACTTTTTACAAAAATTAAAGCTATTTAGACTTTTAAAAAAATATTTGACTTTTGGTTTCTGTTTATTTTAGAAATTAAAATTTTTAACTTTAAAAAAAATATATTTTTGACTTTTTTTAAAGCATAAATACAAACAAATTTTGTAAAAAAAGTGCTTTTTTCTGAAAAAAAAAAAAAAAAAAAACTTTTGACTATAAAAAAAGATAATACAAACGGGCTCAAATCTCTTATCCTTAGGAGATCTTCCTCCGGGTTTTTTTCATACCAAAAATATTATACCATGTTTAGTTGTTTACACTCGGTATATTTGAGAAGAAAGACACAGAGCGAGAATGATATAAGGAAAATGGTGTCTTCATGTAAAAAGATACAATAGCCTCTAATTTAAAAGGTTTAGACCGACACGTTAACACCCCTGGACACACCTCACTCAAATTATGTTTGTATTAATATTTTATTTTTATTTTTTTGGATTCTTAGCTTATTCTTAGCACTGGTCTCTTTCACTACCCCCACTGAGGCGGTAGGTTTATGGGTCTTTTGCAATTATATGATCATCACTTGGTCTATGTTTAGATAATGTGGGACTTATCTCACCACTACCCCCACTCACACTTGATTATTTCCAACATACATTTGGGTCCAATTATATAACAATCATCCATATCCATATATTTGAAAGAAAAATCACTAAATACAACAAGGGAAATACTTCTCTCTTCTGTTGGAAGGAAAAGTTATCTGCAGCTGACACATATTTTTTCACAATACGAAACCGTGTATCCTAAAAAGTAATAGCTGACATATGCTTTTCAGGATACGAAATCGTATCCTGAAATATGTGTCAGCTAGAGATAACTTCTCTGCAGCAACAATAAATTAATAGAACCCATACAACAATACTGGTATACAAGTACCGAAACTTCATTTGTTTTGCAAATGATAACCAGTATAACTGCATGTAGAAAGTGCATTAATTTTCTTTGCAAATAAAGATAGGAAAGTGCATGGAGAAAGTAATGTTCTACTGGTTTTTGCAGACTTTTTCACAAACTGTAGGTTTACAATCAAAATAACCAGAAGTGTTTGGAAAGTTTTAGTAAAGGAAAATCAATTGGCATGTGCAAGATATGTGAGCTGTGTTATAAATGCCCCTATCTCTAAAAAATGCCTTTTATACTTATCAACTACTAAATTGCAGGTTGTTGATCTATGTTAAAAATGTACCTATATTTAAAAAAATACTTCTATATATACATCGACTTTTAATTTGAGTGTATTGTCAATGGTGCCTATCTAAAATTTACTCAGATTTAGATGTATTTTATAATATTTGCATTTAGCAGCTGACAAGAAACCATGATAATGGGCATGCAAAAATATGTTTTTTTCTTGTTGGACTCAAGACAGAAATGTTGAAGAGCTAAGTTGTAATAATGCAATTGCAACGAAATTCTCATATGCATTTGTGTGATTTAAAAACTTAATTTTGAAAATTCAAATGATTTTAAAGGACTTAATCAGCAAAAGTTCTTCAATCTCATGGTTGAAAACCGGAAACTTGTAATTAGAAAGAGAAAGTCAAATTCTGAACATGTGAACCTGCCGTTTGGCAATTAGTAATATAGCAATAGCATCACGCTAGGGGTTACCAAAATGACTGACAAGAGCTTATGAATACGAAGAACTAGCCTGTATTTACCATAAATTCACCAAACACCTTTTTGAACGAGACCTTTACAATCAATGTGGTGTCTGAGAACTAGAACAACGAGCACATATTAATGTACTATACTTATTGCAGGACGTGCATTGTCTGGTGTAAAGCGTTGACCAAACTAAAAAAATTACAAATATGTTATTTACTAAAAATTACTTGAGTAGCTCGTGCCTAACTAAAAATTACTCATTTATACCACCAAATACGTGGATCAACTAGTAAAGAATTGTTCCAACTTAACCAACGAGTTCGAGTTTCTGATAATGCAGTTGTATTCAAACTTGATAGTGAAAGTTTTATTGCTCCTGTGATCCTACCCTATTCAAATTATATTAGTCAAACAATCGATGAACTGATGGATAATATAAAAAAGTACTCGTTTAGTCGTTTACACAAGCTAAAACATTCTTGTTATTTACTATTTAGAAATGGAAGTGTGGAAGAATCAAACAGCTGCAAATGAAGTACTTCATGGGATATGACTCGAAGATGAAAATCTTCATTCATGTACTATGTACACCTCCCCTTTGGTAACTACGAAGTATTTCTAGAGTGTGTTTGTCTTGTAGCTGTGATATGAAATCGACTGCAGAGAACCAAACATTAAGGCAACCTAGTAAATGCTGATGGCAACTGGCACCAACTTCATTTGTTCAAGAATTGGAGCTCTAATCTTGCCGTCCATCACTGGACACCACTAATTTGAGATCAAATATGACCAGGTATAAAGTTGGTTCGGACTATGATTAAATGACTTCTTTCTAATCTAGTAATGCCTAATACCTTTAGTTGATGTAAAAAAATAAAATAAAATGAAGCAATTAAAAGTAAAGTAGAACTCATTTTCACTCCCCTCGATTTTATTTTATTTTATTCCATAACTCTAATTATTTCTTTAGACGAGGGAAGTTTTTCAGATATCCTTACAATCTAATTAAGCGGAAAAAAGGACTCTCAGTGATATAAGAATAATTCTAAGTCTACCGGTATACATGACAATCATCTAATTTTGGCCCCAAAAATAGTCTCCAAAATTCGAATCTATACTCTTTTGACAATTTATTCTTCGTGAAATTTATATTGTCACTTGAGTCAACCCTCAATATTCCATTTGAAATTTATTAAATCTCCTATGCAGTATGAAAGTATTTTATTTTTTTCACACTTTTTTCACTTTTATGTCCACAACTGTTGAATGATTAAGAGGGATACCCAATTATTTTGACAGAATAATCTATATTTCATGTAAATGAAAAGAATAGATCAAGCTTCATTTATTTTCATCCGCCCCACCTAAATCGAATCATTCGCTAGAAATAACTAATTTATGGTGTAATGAATAGATTATACTAAAATTTATAAGAGAATGTTATATTTACAAATTTTTTGTTTACAAATTCTTACTAACTACACTATGTTTGACCGGTAATACACTCTTGAGTAGAGTATTACCGGTCAAACATAATGTAATTTGTAAGTTTGTAAAAAAAAATTTATAAATGGATCCTTCTCCAGATATGTAATATATAAAGAGACAGCAACCAGTATAGTAAAAATCTTAAATAGGAGGTTGACTGACTTTGGTCGACCTACTCCTGCAAATCAGAACTATTCCAGAATAGTAAATAATATGTAATCTTTCTATAAAATTTTCACTGATATTGGTTGTTTTTCCTAACCTTATATGGGAACAAGTCTTCCCCTAATCTAATATATTGGATTACTAAAAGAGAGTATTTAGTAATAAAATACTACAAGAAATTGACTCATAATATGCTAAAATGACAACATGTGTAACATGTAGTTAAGAAAAAATACAGGTACACTGTACATGCCAACTTTTCTGTGCAACAACCGAAATAACTCATGCACATGCTCCTCTATCACTCATAACCATGATAGCTATGCCACCACCCTTGGCACAAAATCTCAACTACTTAGCTCCACCGTAGTAAATGAAAGAAACTAAAAGTCCTAATATATTGTTGATATGAGAGTGATTGATTAATTAAAGAGAAAAACCGCATCGAAAGCTAAGTCGAAGAATAGTTTAAGCAAAAGGATGCAATGTGTTACAGTAAAAAGAGACAACTACCTAAAGTATCAATGGAGGGTATGCATATATATACGTGTAACCACTCTACGCGTTCTCATTTAATGGCTATGCCTAACTTCCATCCTCCCCCTTCAATAGGGGTAATTTTCAGTTTCCATATAAGTACTGATACATAGAATAAAGCCTCCAAAAGCTTATTGTTGACTAGCAAGGCAGAAAAAGATGAACATCATCAAAAGCAAAGAAGAGCTTGCTCTACTCTTTGCATTTTTCTTCATAACTTGCGGGTATGCACAAGACACCCTTGTGCCAGCAATCATAACATTTGGTGACTCTGTTGTGGATGTTGGGAATAATGACTATCTTCCCACTCTTTTCAAAGCTGATTACCCTCCTTATGGTAGAGACTTTGTTAACCACCAACCTACTGGGAGGTTCTGCAATGGGAAACTAGCTACTGATATTACCGGTAAGGGGAAAAAAAAATTAAACTTGGTACTTACTTAGATTAGATAGTTTAAAGTAGATGTTGCATATATACTCATACAATAAAGTTTCATTCTTGTTGGAATGTTTACATTTTGCAGCTGAAACACTGGGTTTTAAAACTTTTGCACCTGCATATCTTAGCCCTCAGGCATCAGGGAAGAACCTCCTTATTGGAGCAAACTTTGCTTCAGCTGCATCTGGTTATGATGAAAAGGCTGCTATTTTGAGTGTAAGTTTGGAATGAATAACTTTATGTATAGGTTTGTAAAGAACCAATTCAACCCAAAAGCTTAAGCTAGTGGGTGAGGGTTTTTTTAATAGTTTATATTATTCTCTAACACGCCCCCTCACACGAGAGCTCACTGGGCTTAAAGGGTGGACAATGCACAAGCCCACCTACCTATGTTAAGAAAATTCCACAAGAAAGAAAGTGGGGGGCGGTGAGGATCGAACCCGGTATACCGAGGCTTTGATATCATGTAAAGAATTAATTCAACCAAAAGCTTAAGCTAGTGTGTGAGGGTTTTTTTAATAGTTTATATTATTCTCTAACAAGGTTAAAAACTCTCTGTTTTTAACTTCCCTTTTTGTTTTTGTTTTGGCAGCATGCTATCCCATTGTCCCAACAGTTAGATTATTACAAGGAATATCAAAGCAAGCTGACTCAGGTAGCTGGCAGTAAAAAAGCAGCCTCAATTATCAAGGATGCATTGTACTTATTGAGTGCTGGTAGCAGTGACTTTGTGCAAAATTATTATGTCAATCCTTTTATCAACAAAGCTGTCACTCCTGATCAGTATTCCTCGTACCTAGTGGATGCATTCTCAAGCTTTGTTAAGGTATTGTGTTATTGCTATTCTGTAAAACTATTGCAGTTGTTTGGTCACTATTAGAATATATGATTTCACGAATAAAAACATTTAATGGTTCCACTACTTTGTTTGGACACAGGACTTGTATGGATTGGGAGCTAGGAAAATTGGAGTGACTTCACTCCCACCATTGGGTTGCCTACCTGCTGCAAGGACTTTATTTGGTTTCCATGAGAATGGTTGTGTCTCAAGAATCAACACTGATGCCCAAGGATTTAACAAGAAGATCAACTCAGCTGCAACAAATCTTCAAAAGCAACTTCCTGGTCTTAAGATTGTGGTCTTTGATATTTTCAAGCCTCTCTATGATCTTGTTCAATCCCCTTCAAAATTTGGTAGGCAATACTTTGACTAACATATACATTCAACATAATAACATTCATCTCTTGCAGTAAAATGATTTTATTTATTCTTTCTAACCTTTCTTATGATGGTCCATAAGGTTTTGTGGAGGCAAGGAGAGGTTGCTGTGGTACAGGAACTGTTGAGACAACATCCTTGTTGTGCAATCCAAAATCACCAGGAACTTGTTCCAATGCAACACAGTATGTGTTTTGGGACAGCGTCCATCCTTCACAAGCTGCTAACCAAGTTCTAGCTGATTCATTACTTGTACAAGGCATAGGTCTTATCTCATAAGGACACGTGATTCTAATTATCTCTGTTCAATGTTCTCGTCTCGTGTGCAACTACTCATCGTGGCTGGAAGTGATGCAAAAGTTTTATATATTTTCTGAAGTCTGGAGGAATCAGTATTCTATTTAGTCTGGAGTAATCTGTATTCTATATATTTTAAATCTTGAGAAATTTCATATTTACTCGTTTGTAATAACATTTTATAAAAAGAAGAAATCTCTACTTAGTATTTATAAATGCATTGTTCTATTTTTGTAAGTTAGATTTGGACTACCATGAATGCATGAAAATGCAATCATGGAGAATTTAAAGCCAGGCATATAATGATCAGAGAATCACCATATAAGGAAGGAAAACATGTAATAGAGGCTCTTGAATTAAATCCATATGGGTAGGATTACAACCCATCCGAATATATTATGTAAAGAACCAATTCAAACCAAAAGTTTAAGCTGTTGAGTGAAGCTACATTAATTATTTTATATATCTCAACACGTCCCCTCACACGAGAGTTGAAGGGTGGACAATACACAAACCCACCTACTTGTGCGAAAAAAGAAATTCCACTACAAAGAAAGTGGGAGGCAGTGAAGATCGAACCCGGTACACCGAGGCTCTGATAGCATGTAAAGAACCAATTCAACCCAAAAGCTTAAGCTGTTGGGTGAGGCTACATTAATGATTTTATATATCTCAACATATTCCATTAAAATACATCATGAAATTGCTAAAGAGCAAAACCAAGAGTTTGTTTTCATCTCTCTATCTGTCTCACCCGATTGAATGGTCAACAGACAAATAACTTTAGAACAAGTCCAAGATGTATCAGTGAGATGAAAGCAAACAGAATCCTAACTCCTGATTTATCCTTCCTCTTGCAAAGAAACTAAGGGGGGCTTTACATTAACCCCGACAGGTCAAAAGTTTTCAACAATATTTTGCAATATGATTAATACTCGGAAATTACCAACTGCAAAGAAGCAAGTGACAGCAAGAGGAATCACTAGATGTTAAAAATATTGCGATACTCTGAACAGAATTACTGTTGATGAATGCTTACCAATGAATTTAAATGCATCCTTATTTAATACAAGGTTAGTGTCTGATACTAACAGCTAATATGGTATATCAGGATTGAGCTGTATAACCTCCTAATCTGTTTGTAATATTCACATTTGAAAAAGGTAAAATCTTTGCATATAGCAAATAAGTTAAAATGAACTATATGATGCTGATCTTCTACGTATCTGTTGTTTGACAGTTCCACTAGAATCTCTTATAGCTTCAGCATATTTCACCAAATTAGATTTCTCAGAGCCAGGCGAATCTGGTAAAGAATCCATGCGGTTTTTGAGGTCTCCTGAACCTCTTTTCCTTGGACTGAAATTCTTTGAGCTTCCCACATCTGAATTTCTCCTACTTTCATCCTTCACACTCATCCTATTTTCATCCTTCAAACTCAATGTCCGGTCCAAATTGAGGGAACTAGTTCTAGATGCGACAATGGGAGTTGCATACTCACTCCTAAGACCCTCAGCTCCAGTATCATTCCCAGTTGAGATACTCAAGCTGAAACTTGGAGAATTAATATCTTCTTGAGATCCAGATTTTTCTTGGGATGTAACTCGACTAAGTTGATGCTGGCTACCTCTGCCTCGTATCAGCTTCATAAGCTTGCCAAAAAATTTAGACTTGCTTGTGGTATTAGCTTTGGCATCAGATGGATTATCACGAGGAGAAAAATCATCAGAGTCTGTAATAAAAGAAGCCTGGGAGGAGGACCATTGGTCATAATCAAAGTCAGAAAGGCTCCGTCGCCCATCATTATTTGCATATTCAAGTATAAGCTGCTTGGCTTTCTTCTCAGATGTAGGACTTAAGCTTTTACTCAGGTCCCTTGCAGCTGTTTTACCAGGAGGGGGTTGATAGTGGCGTACTTCATGTCTTAAACAAGCATTTATCCACCGCAAATAAACTAATTCTTCAAGATCTGAACATCGATCAGCATGTAGTTGCTCAATTTCTTTCATCAAGCTTTCGTTTTCTTGTTTAAGACGCTCACCTTCTTCCTTCAAAGCATCTGCCTGCATCAAAAAGCATAAGGTAAAATTGTGTTTGACAAACAGTGATTGAAGGAAAATAGCAGATTCATTATAGTCTTATTACCTCAGGGTCTTCCAGAATGGAATTTGCAAGGATCTGAGTAGAATCCAATCTTTGAGCTAAGTCAGAATTGTCCATCTGCAGTCTCAAATTAGATTTCCTCAACTGTTCTGCCTCAGACTCAAGATCCTTTAGCCTTTTCAGCTTCATTTGAATATCTTGATCACTATTAGCAGCTTTGCATTCAAGGTCTTGCAACTTGGCAACTCTTTGGCTAAGATTTATGATATGCTCCCTGCTATGCTCAGCTTCATACTTAATTTTCTTCTTCAAAAATTTGACTTTTGTTTTTGCAGTCTCAAGCTCAGCCTGCACTTTTGCATGATCAGCCACCTGTGCCTCTAATCTCCGATTTTCAGACTGTAAGGTCTCAACCTTCAGATGGAACATCTTTGCCTCCATATTACTTATCTTCAATCTATTTTGGAGCTCCATTACAGCTGTTTCTTGCTCTCTCAGACCACAGTACTCAAGCAGTTGAACCTCAAGACTTCTTTCCCTCTCTTGAAGCATTCTGATCATGTTCCTGAGTTGCCTGATTTCTTGCTCATAGTCATCCTTCTCATGACTTGCATATGCTATAGCAGACCTTGGTGTTTCTACCTCAGGTTGGAGGAACTCATCTTTCTCTCCACTTTGTTTAGTTCTTGGAGAGTGACCAAGTGGGGAATTTTTACCAATCACCTTGTTGATGCATGTTTCTTCCTGCTATAAAAGAAAATAACCCTATTTATCTAAGCAATTTTTACCAACTTTGAATGTCTGTTTAATTTTGTAAATTGTTATATACGAAGAGATAATATATCATCAGAAGATTAAAGCTACATATTTATCTGTTTCCACAAGAATATCTTCGACACACTGATCAAGACAAAGAAGGCTCAAGTTTAACTTCAGTTGGCTTGTCCAGAAATTTTCTTTACTTCTCGCAATAGTTTATTTTTGTTTTCCCTACAAAAATTTCTATATACATACTGAGAAGGAAAAAAAAATTCTGTAAAGCTTTCTCAGCAGAAGTTCACAAGCGTTTTCCATATAGCACATGAATTCAAGGGGAACCAACTAAAGAAAGGAGAAATCTTTGTCTTTTCCTTTCTTTTTTCTTTGGTAAATGAAAATAAAAACAAAAAGTATACTCTTATGGTTTTAGTTTCTCAAAATCATATTATTAAACTTCCAAATTCCAATTAATCAACAATAATCCTAGATAACAAAAGAAGCCAGTATTATCTACTATCTGGTATTATAGATGGGGAAAATAAAAGAAAAATTACACTCAAACTATCAACAATTAAAATGACATGGTTAAAAAAAAGAACCACAAAAATACTCTTTTCTCATGTAACTTACAGTATCCAAAATATTTTCCTCTGAAACAGTGCTGCAAGAATTAGATGCTGCCCTTACACCTCCTCCTGAATTAACTTCTTTTCCATGACCTGAGAAAGACATTAAACATACACAATATAACTTAATTCATCATTCAAAAAAAAAAAAAAAAAAATTGAAAGGTTTATATGATGAAGAAACAAACATGAAGGGTGTCTCCTGGGGGAAGTAGCGGAGGGCTTAATTTTTCTGGTTCTGATGTGAGAGTAGAGAAATCCAGCAAAGGTAAGAGCCAAAGCCAAACCACATTTCAGTAGAATTTTGTTCATCCCCCTCTCCTCTCTCCCCATCACCTTTAAAAACCTTCTCATTATTCTATTCTTCATGAAGATAGAGATCACTTAGGTCCTTTTCATCATCATCCTCCATCTCATGCCCAAGAAAAAAAAAAAACACAAGACCCATTTCTAGTTTATTCCTGTAAACACAAAAATCATCATGGATAAGCAAAGCCCACATATATATATATATATATATATGTATATTAATCAGGAAAAATCCAACATCCCCAAAACCAGAAACCATCAAACATGCATGCACCACGTCTAATCAAATCATACAAGACCTACCATGTTAGGTTGATTCTACACAAGAGCATAAGCATTGAAAATGATCCACCCCTTATAAAACTAAATGAATCACGGGAAATATGAACATGCAGAACAAAAAAATGAGTGTAGAAGAAAAATATCCAAAAGCTCGACATAGATTAACATTAAAAAAAATGCAAAAACTTAAGCAAAGAAAGCTCTGTTTCAGGATATTGAAAGGGAAAAAAAAAAATGAAACTTTACGTTTCTAGGATCAAGATGAAACGCCTTGTGTTTCAACTAAAATGATTTTAGCAGAACCATTGCATTTTGATGTTGTCTTTTTGGTAACAGTTTCAATTGCGTATATGCTTGTCCCTCATACACAAAAGAACAACTGGGTATGAACGCAACCTTAAACAACAACAAAAAAAAACGCAATTATGTCTTTACCAACAAACACGGTCCATTGATTTTTGTCCTACGTAAACGGTGAACATGATGTTGGGAGTGGGTCATGTCAGAGGGAGAAACAGAACCTGAACTTGAAATTGTGAACAAAAACAGAAAATGGGTATGAGAGAGAGCATTGAAAATGAAGAATCTAGTTCCACTTATTAGTCACAACCACCAATGAAAAAGAGAAAGTAGAACAAAATGCAAATAATTGAGAAAATTAGATAACCATTCTTTTACTCATCTTAGTTGTTTAATTATGGAGTTTAATCTTTGTTTTCAGATCAAATATAGCAAATGGAGAGTCCTAATTAAGCGCCATTTTAAAGTCTTTTGCAGTTTTCCCTCCTTTGCTCATTTTTTCTTCCATGTTTCCTATTTTGTTTACTTTTAATTCTTTTGTTTTTTCTTTTATCTTCTTTCAGTTTTTGTTTGCTTATATAGGTATGGTTAGAGTTTTTATTTTATTTTATATTATTTATCATTTTATCGATTATTTCACTAATCTGGTTCGAGTTGGTAGGACCAATACCAAAGTTTTTTCAAATTTTAATACAATTGTGTTTTTATAAACTTGAATTCAAAATTATTAATTATGCTGGAATAACTTTGTACCAGTTGATTCACGTGATGGACGATATATGAGTAAAGGCTTTCATATGTCTAAACAATCATTGTGAATTTGATATTAAGAGAAATTCTTTTTATTTTAATTGTAAGATATTTTTATATATAAAAAAACCAAATTAATCTAATCATATGAATAAACTGAGTTTGATTAGTTTGTTTTAAAATAAATTAAAAAACACCAATTTGACTCAATTTCTTAGTGAATTAAATGGATTGATTCATTAAATTTTTTTAAAAAATGACATTAGAAAGTAAGAACCATATAATAACCATTTAACCCAAGTTGCAAAATTAAAACCATATGATATTCATCTAACTTAATTTATGAATCATTTATATCCGATTCACACTAGCTTATAAATTTCAAACTAAAAAAAACATAACAACAAGTGAGCCGACTCAAAATAATTCATTTTTTTATAAGATATGTACATTTTAAACTTTAAATTAGAAATTAAAAAAAAAAAAACTTGACTCAGTATGTAAAACTTTTTTGAAAATGCATAATAATTTGCGAAGATGCTAAGGCCACGTTAGTAGTACTAGTAGTATTACAAAAGAATCGAAGGATTCATGTTGGGCAACTTGCAAAAAGTTAGATGCATGTATTAAATGTAGCGCAACTTTCAAAAAATTAGATGCACGTATTAAATGTAGCATTAAAATGTTGAATTTCTTTTTTATTTTGACGTGTTTCGATATTTCCTTTTTTAAGTTAAAAATTATTTTTAAGTTAAAGTTAAAAAAAGCTTAAAAAAAATAAAAATTGTTTGATAATTACATAAAAATTTTAGTTTAAAAATTAATACATATTTCAAAAAAAGTTTCTCTTTTTATCTTCATGGTTCTTCATTTAAAAAAAGCATATAATTTAAGAAAAATTGATAAAAGTTTAAAAAAATTCTTCCTATTAGCTTTTAGCTTTTAGCCTTTTTTATTATAATTTTTTTAAAAAAACTTGTTTGACCTAATTTAGAGTAATAAGAAAAATAAAAAGATTCGTACAAGCACAAAGTAAGATGACGAAGCTTCCCTTGCTTCACTTGTTCTATTTTTTGGGTATATTTATGGGTACTTTGGATAATTCTGTTAGAAGACAAGCATCATAATAGTCACTTATTTTATTTCTTTTTTTGTTGTTGTAAGATGTGATTATTAATTTGAATTTTATCTATTTAAATTTTTATTATGTGAAATAAAAAAAACAATTACGGAAGAAGAATCATTTTGTGAAAGTCGTTGGAGACTCCGGAACGAAATGAGAGCAATGACACTTGGTGTGAAGTTGTGATTTGGTAGTTAATTGAATGAAAAATTGGTTTAACATCTCATCGAATTGAATGAATAATATTTGAACTGAATATTCTAATTTTTTCACTGTTTGTCCAAACCAAGTTGTGATACCAAGTTATGTATAGAATTTGGAAAGAGTTATATTTATAAAAAAAATTTGTTTATAAATTACACTGTTCTTTCAGAAGAACGTTAAGTTACATTATATTCTTTCGAGAGAACATAATATATTTGTAAAAAAAAATTATAAATGAATCATTTCTCATAAATTTTTTGTTAAAAAAGTTGGTTGAACATCTCATCGAACTGCTTCTTCTAATTTTTTTTCACTGTTTGTCCAAACCAAGTTGTTATGTATAGAATTTTTGTTAAAAAAATTGAGCTCTATTGAGGAAGTTTTCACACAAGTGTCCTTCTTCTCTGATCAAATTTTTAATTTCACATAATGAAAGTTTAAATAAACAAAATACAAATTCAAATTAGTAACCATCCACTACAACAACAAAACAAAAACACCACACCAAAATAAAAAACAAAAACAAAACAACTCACTGTGACAATACTTATGACAAAACTACACAAACTACCCACAAACGTATCCTTAACATTGTACTTCCATTCACTCGCATATTGTTAATTATACATAGTTGGAGTGACACCCTTCATCTAATTCTCACAACTAATTTTTGTTGCAAATTTAACAGATTTTTCTTAAAGTACTTGTATTTTAGAAGATCATTTCAGTACAATAAGAATTGGCTTAAGTGGCAATATGAGCTCTGTAATGAGCAAATTGTTAAAAAGCATGGTTCGGATAGGGAAAACGACCATTAGAATCAGCATTGGATAATTATCACATTATTTGACCCGAGATTAATTTTATATTTGTACGAACTCTTTTTCCATCAGAATCGTGATGATACCTAAAAAATCCTAACTCACTTCAAAAAGAAATTAGGATATACCAAAAAGGAGTTCACTTCGGTTTGAGGTTAAAAATACTATATCTTTATCAATAAAGCTCAACATAATTGATAGATAGTTGAATTTTTTAAGCATATTGATAGATGTTCGATAATTGGCCGTGTGCATAAAAAAAAGCTTTGTTGGAAAAAGATTACCCACTTAATATGATCTTTTGCCTTGAAAGAATTGTTGTGGGCCAAAAGATACTATGGAAATAAAAAAACAAAAAAATACTATATCTTCCTCCGTAACTCCCCATTTACCTTTTTATTTCATTATGAATTAGATAAGTTGAACAGTCATAATATACAAAATGATCGTATATAAACATAATTTAATTGGCATTCTCATAAAAAAGTTTAGGTTAAAACTTGCACTAAATTAAATAAAAAAATACATTAAATTACATTAATCAGGTATTAGTTGCTTTGAATTCATTTCAAATAAAATTCTAGATTGATGATTTTTTTTTTTAATACAAAGATTGATGAAATATTTAAGTTATTCTTAAATGAACTATAACTTTAGGGGTATTTGGTTAGGGGAAGGTTATACTTACAACTTATTTTCGTTTATAACTTCTTACAACCATATCTTAACCGTTAATTTTCATCAATCAAATCAACGGTTAAGATTTTCGCAAATCAAATTATTAATTAATTATTAATTCACAATAAATGACAATCTTTGATTGGCTGAAATCAAAGGTTAAGATATGATTGTAAAATGTTGTAAGTATAACCTTTCTCATTTGATAGAAGGAAAAATTTTAAAATCCTATGAAAGTAAGATTGGGAATTCAATTTACCCAGGTTTGGTACTGTTGAAATATTTAAGTGTAATAAGTCTCACATTGGTTGATAATGAACTAAGGAGGCCTTTGGTATGAGAAAAAAAAATTTACCCGTGAATCATGATTTCCAGCAATATGGTAAGAAATATTTTTTTCCGGGAATAATGAGTTATTTTTCTGATGCTATATTTGGTTTAATGTAAAATATTGTTGGGAATGTTGAACAAAATTACAAAAATACCTATTTGTTTGAATACATCATTTGTTTAATCATTTCCCAAGGGGTGGGAAAAAAATTATACCATGGGTCAGATGGTATTTTTCTTTGGGAAAATGTAGTGTTAAAATCTATGATGCACCAACACGGGACACGACACGACACGCCTACACGTTAATTCTAAAAAATGTCATATTTCGACACGTTGTGATATTAAATAATTTTTTTAATATATATAATATAATTTATATTTAATACATGTAACAGTCCACAATAAGTCATATAACCAATCAAATATTCAAATTTCATAACATAAATATAAACAAAAATAATTTTTCGTACTTTGTTAATTTTTCATGTCAAATTTCATAACAGAAAAAAATTGATTTATAAATTATTTTTTTTTATATTTAGTTAATAAAATAAAATTAAGACTAAAAAAAAAACTTGTCGGAACGGTGACAGCGTGTCGAAAAAATATGTCAGAACATGTCAGACGCGTGTGTGTCGAAACGTGTCGGAGTGTGTCCGTGTCGGACTCTGACACAATTTTTTCAAAAAGTTGCTTGTCCGTACTTCTGAGGTTAAAATAAATGATGGAAAAAAAATAGCAGAGAATATTTTTAAAATCTGCATACCAAACATAGGCAATTTTTTTCACCCCCAATTCTTGGGGAATCCACGCAAAATCTATACATCAAATGCCCAAATGCATATAAGTGGGAGGACCTGAATCCAATATCTTAAGGTTTTAGGTTGAGATATGGTGTTAGACCTACTTGGTGTATTTGATCCATTTAACCCATTGATGATGGTCCTCCTCCATGAGCTTCCCTTGGACCCATCTGACAAGTATAAGATTGCAAAAAAATTTCCTAAAAAGTCAAATTTTCGGAATTCATGTTTATGAAGAAAAATTCTATCTTAAAATAGCAAATTGGTGGTATTTTGATTTTGAGAATCTCATGTAATGACAATATTTATATTTTTTTGTGACATAATTGATCTCAATCCACATTTTCAACAATATTTTACAATCAATCAAATATGTCATCAAGAAAAATATCTCCAACATTCTCGTGAATATTTTGGTCTATCAAATAATTTTTTTGAAAATATTCTCAAAAAAATCACTTTTTTACCGTATTTCCAAAAATAATAATTTCCGAAAAAAAAAAAATTCTCCTCTAGAGTTCATTTGTGGAAAAATAAAAAATCACAACATTTTTTAGCTCACAAAAATGGGGTTTAGAGTCCACTAATTCATGCAAACCTCAAATGCTTTCGTTTTCGGTCTCTGGTTTTTGGGTCCCTTCAAACCCCTCATTCCCTTACCGCAGGCCATCGCCAACAACGAGTGCAAGCTTTCACATTGACACCCCACAAGACCCAAACAACACTCATGGCTTCAAATTTGAACAGAACGCTTCTTCTGAGGATAAAGTTGAAGACTTTCAAAAAGAAAAGGTGAGTGGGAGAGGGAGATTGATTGGGGTCAACTCAGTTCAGGGTGGTCTTGGAAGGAAGAAAAAGGCGAAGGAGAAAATTCACTGGGTTTGTAGCAATTGTGGGTACAGTACTGGGCAATGGTGGGGTGTGTGCAGATCCTGCAGTGTTGCTGGCACTATGAAGGAGTTTCATGAATCAAAATCCAGTGATGCAGATGGTAAGGTTAGTGGGTTTTCAGTTTTGGATGATGCTGTGGGGTCATGGCTTCCACACCAAGAAGGTGAGTTACGTCCCTTGAGATTGGCAGAGGTAAACAGGGGACTTGATCATCTTCATTGGAGAATTCCATTGTAAGATCTTCTTTTGTTATGGTAATTTATTGTAATTATTAGATATGTTGATGTTTTGATTTTGACTTCTCAGGATGTCCTATTTTATGAGTCTGACACTGGATAAGTAATGCGTTAGACTTTGAGTTTAGAATTTGAAGACAGGAAAGTACTTTGTAGTTCTGTGTTAGGGTCAACAACTCTTGAGGGGAAGTTTTTTCTTTTCTTCTCTCTCTTTGCTAGCCTCCAGAATGAACTTCAATTTGTATGGTTTTCCACTTTCAATTGTCATGATCCAAATTCTTCTAAAATCTTAAACTATTAGATGAAGGCACATGAATGGATTTATTACATCTCAGACATGTCTCCTCACACACAAGAGTTATTTGGGCTTGAAGCAAAAATTATACGCTGGCTCACCTACCTTGTGCTTAAATTTATCTTTTTATTTAGAAGAATAAAGATGGCAAGAATCTAACTCCATACCACTTTGTTATAGAGGTTCTGATACCATGTCGTTAACCAACTCTCCAAAAGGTTAGGTTTGTAAATGAAGGAACATAAATGGTTTTATTACATCTCCAACACCAATCATCTACTTTTCTCTATTATAACTCATATTAGTCATTCAAATGTTCCATCTTTTGGGTTCGTCTTGTAAAGAACCAATTCAAATCAAAAGCTTAAGCTTAAGCTTTTGGGAGAGACTACATTAATGGTTTTATATGTCTCTAACACGCCCCCTCACACAAGAGCCCATTGGGCTTGAAGGGTGGATGATATATCAGGCTCGACCTACCTGTGCTAATAAATTCTACAAAGAAAATGGGGGGAAGCAAGGATTGAACCCAAGATACCGAGACTCTGATACCATGTAAAGAACCAATCAATCCAAAAGCTTAAGCTGTTTGGAGAGGCTACATTAATAGTTTTATATATCTCTTGACAGTCCTTTTCTTAACTATTTTCCTTTATCTTTGGATGTGAATGTGATGGTTTCTCATGCTGAGCCTACCCTTTAAATGATAAAATTAGGATCTTTTTTTATTGCAAATATATATACTGTATATGAAAATTATCTTCTTCATAAGCATGTTAAATAGAAGGTTGTCAAATGGATTACGATATGGAGGACTTATTCCATGCATTGGTGTGGGAGAGTATCTTCCCATTACCTTCTCTTTTAGTCTCAAGGAAAATGTGGTACTTGTTTCAAGTGTTATACCATGTAGTTTGCTTTGATTTCAGGTCAGGTTCTTTTGGAAATGAAGTTTCTAGAGTACTTGGTGGTGGTCTTGTACCAGGTGCTATTTGATTTCTTATCTATATTGATATGCCAGCAACCATTTACATTGAGATTTACGACTATTTTGTTATTGTTCTTCCTCTTGTTTCTCTGGGTATGAAGGATTTTCCAGCTCAAAATTGCCAGATGCATTATGTAGTATGGGTGTCTAACACCATGGTCTCTTGTTTTATAATTTTCTACTAATTTTTAATTATGTGTTATTTGGTAAGAACTGTATTAGCATACCATTCTTATTTATTTTCATCAAAAGGGGTTCTTCGATCTTCTGTTATGACTGCTGAGATTAATTACAATTCTAATATTTATGCTTATCTTTACACAAACTTTTTGGCTTGACTGTGTTTGATTTGTATGTTTGATGGGTGTGGACTAGTTGAAAAGGGTTGCTGCTTTTGGTGATTTATCTTGGTGAATGGATGATCATCATTGGTATATTGTTTCTGGTGCTTTTTTTCCCTTGTGATCCTGATGTTTGAATACTCATATGAATGCTTCCAGCTGATTGTCTGAGAAGTTATAGTATCTTTCTTTATTCAAGTTCGCTAGAAGCCTCACTGCAAAGTGCATTGAGTGTTAATGGCTAACTTTATTTATTATTCTGGGTTCGAAGGCTCATTGACTTTAGTTGGTGGTGATCCTGGCATTGGGAAGAGTACTCTCTTGTTGCAGGTATGGATTTTAGGATGGTAAAACTGGATCTAAAAGCTAGATTGTTAACTTTATTTTGTGGACTTGGTCAACACCCATTAATACTTGTTTTAATTGCAACATTTGAGTTGGAAGATTGCTGCAATAATTGCAGAAGCGCACAATGATGGTGAAGCATCTCCAGTCGTGTATGTCTCTGGTGAAGAGGTTTGCTTTTATTAAGTCTCTCAACATCAACATCAACAACACCTTTATCCCAAATTAATTGGGGTCGGTGGTAGATGAACCCACATGAAAGATACAAAACGGTTGAAAAAAAAAAAAAAAAAAAAAAATAAAAAAATAAAATAAAATAAAATAAGATAAAATAAAATAACAATATATGTATATATAAATAAATAAAAGTAAAAAAGAAAGGGACAAGAAGAAGTGGGGGAAATGAAGGGGAAAAGGACTAAAAAGGGATCATCTGGAACATAGGAATAACAGCGGGTCTAACCCTCCACCATACTTATAGCTTTTCTCCATTCCGTTCTAAGACATACTGTCCGCCAATCTACATCCCACTCCATTAAATCTTGTTTTACTACTTTCCCCCAAGTAAGCTTCGGTCTACCTCTGCCTCTTTTTGTGTTGAGCTCTTGGTAACAAACTTCTGTTCTTACAGGAGCATCCATGGGTCTTCTCATCACGTGCCCAAACCACCTCAATCTATGTTCTCTCATCTTCTTAAAATTGAAAACTTGTTAAAATTCCATATTGATGAAAAGCTCATAGTGCTTTTAAAAAAATTATTCATCACTCTTACTTTTATATAATTGAAAAATAATACAAATTGATGCTAACTTAATCTGCAGAAAATTACTGTAAGCCTTATTTCAATATTGTTGACCTCGTGTTCCCCTCTTCGTATTGATATCTCATCATACCGAATGTGGATAGTGGAGTTTCACTTTTGATATAAAATTGTTATTTTTGCTCTTTAAGTCTTTTGTACTTTTTGATGTAGCTGCATTTACGTTAATTTTGTTCTTTCATGTGACAGAGTGTCGAGCAAATTGGTAACAGAGCAGATCGCCTTAGGATTGAATCAGATATTTATTTATATTCAAGTAATGATATTGAGGTGCTGGTATTTTCTTGCATTGTCACTTTTTTTACATGAATTTTGATGATTTATAACATGTTATTACTTTCAAGAAATTTGTTTGACTCGAAAGTTATTCTTAATTGGCTTGATTAGAGCATTCTACAGAACTCTGAATAATTGTATATATTTTTTTAAAATATTTTTTCATGGTGTCAGGACATATTGAAGAAAGTTCAGTATCTCTCCCCCGGGGCTTTAGTTGTTGATTCAATACAAACTGTTTATTTGAAAGGAATCATGGGAAGTCCTGGAGGGATTATGCAGGTGGGGAATCTGTCCTGCTTAATTGACATATTACCTTGCGTCATCCTACATAGCCTGATGAAGTCTTTAATCTTTATTACAAAATGATAAACATCTTATTGTTTGTATTTGAAGTTCATGAATAAGACAGGTTTAATCTGCTCCTCTACCAAAAACTGTCAAAAGTGCATTATCTATACCTTTTTTACAGTGATATGAATTACTGGTTCCATTGTACATGATATTTAATAGGTGTGAAACAGGTGAAGGAGTGTACTTCAGCATTACTGCGATTTGCAAAGAAGACGAACATCCCAATTCTTGTGGTGAGCATACATATGAACTATGCCTTTTCTTAGATGAATTTCATAAATTGTACATAATTTGAAAATCATTATCAATTACTATTTTTCCTTCTTATGGTGTATTCTTCTTAATCACTCACACTTATTTACATTTACTGTTATGGCAAATATGGAAATTCTTTTATGTTCCCTCTGCAAGCCTAAAATAGCAGAGTTCATGTGTATTATTTAATAAATGATTGGTGTTGTTTGTATGTATTTCATCCATGGATTATATGTGGGCATTTTTGTTAAAGTGGCCTTTGAATTGTTGACATTCATGACCTCAGCTTTGCTTTTTTTAATTTTCTTTCTTTTCTCTCTCTCTCTCTCTCTCTCTCTTTTGTTTTTGTATTTCAGATTGGACACGTGACAAAATCTGGAGAAATAGCAGGACCTCGTGTCTTGGAGCATATTGTTGATGTTGTTTTGTATATGGAAGTTAGTACCTTGTTACATCTTTCTTTCTTTGTATAATTGGTAAAGCTGATTTGTGCTTATCGTCATCGTTTCTACTAGTAATTGGTACCTTGGCATGATTTGTGCTCTTACATCATTAAGCCTTCATCTAGCACATTAATGAGTTTAGTTTTTGTTCCGACCTAGAGTGGGTTGGATGGTTTGGTGTGGCACAAAGATGGTCACATTGGATCCCATCTTTGTGTGGGGCAGGCTGCAGCATTTGGTGGAGTTTATCTCTGAGGACTTGTGGCTATGGGTGGTTGGCCGGAGTTACTGTCTCCTGGCCTTCTTGTGGTGTAATAGCAAGAGGTTTGTTTGGGCAGCAAATTGTTTGGGATTGTTCCTCTCCGTTGCCATCAAGCATTTGAGTGGCAGCAACCATCATAGTTCTGGCGGGAAAGGGGTGATGTGCACTCACAAGAACTCCAATGCTCAAGCCAAATGTATGAGTGAGGTGGAGTTTGCATAAAGTCGTGGCTCTTAGCAGGTACCATATTGGAGAAGCCTGGCTTTGTGCAGGCTCCTACACTGTTTCAATGCCGTGAGACACACTGCCACAGTACCATGAGACAGGCTATGCTTGGAGTTTGCAGGTGCCAACCCGTGTGATCATGATATGGGTTTTGGGCCAGTTTAACAGATCAGCCCACTGGATTGTATATTCGGTCCGCGACAGTTTCACTTCTATGTCTTTCATGCATTATAGCATGGCACCATATATAATTGAGTTTTGACAAGGGGAGGAGCACTATTACCAATTTTTGAATGAGAATGGGAGAAAGATCTCATTTTGAGTTTTGACATTGGGTGGACCTGGTGTGTATTTGCCAAATCTACATCATTTTCTCGTAGCTTAGTATTAGGAGAGAATAAGAACAAAAAGTCACAACAATTAGTAAAGAAGAGGATGGTATGAAGTTGAATAATAATAACATAAGACTGCAGAAAGTGCTCTGTTCTTGGTGATCAAGAAAGTATCAAAGAAACAGTTGTTGACTCTTAATTTTTTTTTTTTTATTCTGAAATTTAGTTTGATTGCAGGCCATGGTTCTTCCTATTCCCTTTTCAAAATTATGTTTTTACAATATCTTTTAAACTAAATTTTGGAAGTTTTGTTTGTAACACCTTTCATTTTTTGTGCACGTTACTTATAGTTGGCTTGTTGAAATCACTGCATTTTCTCTATTGATAATTGCTCATTTTAATGCTCAGTGTTGCAATCCCTAGTTTTCAGCATCTAGAATGTTTTATTTTTCCTCCTTAATCTTAGGAGTTTGTTTCGTTATTTGTTATTTAAATTCCTAGGATTAGTTTGTTTCTGATATTTTTCCTGTTTAGTTAAAATAGGATTCAGTTTTCTAGTTTTATCTCTTTCCCTGATTATAGGGATTTGTTGCACTGGAATATTTCTGGTGTCTATTTATTGTACGTTTTTTTTCTTTTAGTTTTAATGGAAAAACTGGTTCCATCATTCAAACTTTCTATATGGTATCAGAGCTTGATTTTTAAGGGACTGATCCACCCATGGCTACCAATGTGCCACTCTTTGGCACCATGAGAGCCTACCAAACTACTTCTTCCAATACCACCGGTACAAATACCACTCCAACAACAACCCCACTCAATGTTTCAGCATCAAACCAAACCAACAACAACTCAGCAGCTGTCATTACCAACGATAGTCCAGCATTAGTCATCACTGGTCATCGATTCAATGGAGACAATTATTTGTTGTGGTCACGCAGCGTTCGTATGTTCATTGGAGGCCGTGGCAAGGGAGATCATCTCACCGGTACGGGTGATGCTGCTCCTCTGGAAACTAGTCATCCACAATACAAGAAGTGGTCCATTGAAAATAACCTTGTGATGTCTTGGTTGCTGAATTCCATGGTGCCTGAAATAGCTGAAACATACATGTTGTGCTCCACAGCCAAGGAAATTTGGGATGGCGTGAAGGAAGCCTTCTCTAAGGAAGATAACACAGCTGCCTTGTTTCACATCAAGGGGATTCTTCGTGATCTCAAACAGGAGGACAAGGATGTCACCAGCTATTATAATTCACTCCTAAAATTCTGGCAACAATTGGATCTTTATGATCAACATGAATGGACTACTCCAGCCGATACTCTTCAGTATAAGAAAATTGTTGAACAAGACCGCACCTACAACCTTCTTTTGGGACTCAATCCAATCTATGATGGAGCTCGCAGCCGCATCATGGCCACTCGCCCTCTGCCATCCTTGCGAGAAGTTTTTTCTGAATTAAAGTGGGAAGAAAGCCGCAAAGTTTTGACCAATAGCATCCCAAAAGTTGATGCACCTTTGGAAGCAGCAGCCTTTGTCTCTAGACCCAACAATGCAGACTCCAGACCTAGGCGAAATGGTAAGCTCTGGTGTGACCATTGCAACAGAACTGGGCATATTCGGGATACATGCTGGAAAATCCATGGCAAGCCAGCTGATTGGAAGCCAAGACAAAACAGAGACTTTAATCATGTTGCTGCAGTTGTAGAAGATGTTCCGCAAGCAAAATCCGAAGGCCATACATTTACAAGGGAACAAGTGATAGCCATACAACGCATGCTGCAAGATTGCAATAAGGACAAATCTAATCCCTCATCTGATAGTCATCAATCAGGTACATTCCATACAGCTCTCCAATCCGATCTTGATAAATGTGATTCCTGGATGGTAGATTCTGGGGCTACAGATCATATGACTGGTAATTCCTCTCTTCTTTCTGAATACTTTCCCATTTTCAAGGCAAAA